GTCTAATTTAAAACTAACTTTAACTATTAAGTTTATTGAGAAATCGATAAATACATTCAAGAATAAATTAAATAAATAAAATAACTAAAACTCAAATTATAACACCACCAATAGTCCTTCAAATATTTTACAAAGAGATCCTTCCAAATTCAGTTAGCTGCTAAGCTAAGTTGGTGTTGCTATTTCTCTCTATAAAACAGACTTACTCGCACCTACTTGATCTGCATTTTTTGTACTACTAGATTAAGCATTAACTAGTATAACTATTAAAATCTATACTACTTCACTAAACTTAGGATTTCTACTATGCAGGTCCTCTGCTCATAGATCCTATCAAGATTTATTTATATAATATTATGTCTCTCTAAGCATCATATCATACTTCTAATATCTGATTGATATTAGTACAACATGATTTATAGAGTTACAACCTCAGAAATGAACAGAGTTTACTGTAAGTTAGATACAAAAATTTAGATAATTATTCAAATTTATCAAAAGTGAGATTTGAACCTCAGACCTCTTATATAGTAGTCTAACAACCTAATTACTATACTAAGATCACCAGACTATTTAATCTTTTTATCTAAATATAACAGATTATTTAATATTATTTTAGAAATATTAAGACTAATAAGCTTTTGCTAATTTATTTGCTTAATTATTCTATTTGTTTTTTATTTTTATTTTTTATTTTTTATTTTATTTTATTTTTTTTTTACACTTAGACGATCTTGCTCATCATTTTATTAAAAATAAGCTAATTTAAGCTATAAGTAAAATGCTACACTATTTATAGCAAACTAGTATTAGATTAGTGGGCTTTTTAGATACACGGTTGTGTTTTTTTTGATAACACTATTCTTTCTTGTTTTTTTTCAAGTTTTTACGGTATTCTTGATAACTTATATAATTTATATATAACATATAAAAAACTTACATGAATGTTGTATTTTTATATATACTACATGCTTAGTGTACTTTTTTGATATCTATTTCGATAGCTATTTAGCTTTCTATTACTAAGGAGTACACTCCCTAAGGGTGTACGATGCAGTTGTGGAGTGAAGTAGAGCATAGTTATCATATTTGATTTCTATTTAGTTTTTTGTACTGAAGGAGCATAGCGACTCTGAATGCAAAGCGTAGTATAGTATTAGTTATCTATTTAATTTACAATTAGTTTCTTAACACTAAGGAGTATATATCTTAGGTGTGAGCGACGCAGTTATGGAGCGAAGCAGAGCATAGTAATCTTTTATTTAAACAAAAGATCTGGTATATTAATAAAAAATACTAAAAAAACATATTACTATAGCTAAGATACTTAAATGTTCAGGTTGTGATCGAGTAATAAAAACTAGTAAAACTCGAGATCTTAATAAACACATGAATTTAAATAGAAACCTTCGTAAAAGACAATACCAACTAGCTTTGCTTATAATGCAAAATGTAGGAAACATTACTTCAGAGCAAAATATACCTCAAACTAAAAACGTTACTCTAGAGCAAAATTCGCTAGCAACTCCTGAAGGTGATCTTATATCGTTCGATGAAAAACCACCAACACTTTAGCTGAGAGAAGCAAGTGTGCTGACAGTCGACCTCAGATAAGAGAATCAGAAATAAGTCAAAGACTCAAAGCTCAACATCCTCGATACTTTGTATCATCTAGTTCAAAGCAAAATAGCATGAGTTACCAAGATAAAACCATCTTAATTCATAAAAATATAGCAAATGGATTTGAGTTTTATAATGAGAAAAGAAAATGGTATGGAGTTAAAGAAGATTTTTGCACATTATATAACAAATATTATTTTATTAAAGCAAATAATGAAGAAACAATTATGGAAGCATACAAAAGAATTAATGATGAGTCTGAAGCTATTGCT